TTAGTTCATTAAAAAGGTTTGTGTTAATATTGTTTGTACAATTAAATATGAGTATCTTGTACTCTGAGTAACTAATTTAAAGATAACAATTCACAATGTATTAATCATTGTCACCCTTCTATTATCTTGTTTTGAAATGTTTTTTCTCTTTAAAATAAAAACTACGTGTGACAAGATTTTCTATGGAGCTTTGGGTCAGTTCAATGCTGAGGTATCACAATTTCACACAGCAGAAAAATTCATACTCTGAATTGTGTAAAAACAGAATAAAATAATTTAGGGTAGTAGCTTTATAAAGTAGAGGCAGATGTTTTCTCCATAAGAAATGTTTTGTGTTTTAAATAAAATTAAAAATATTACCTAGCAGTGTTAGCAGAAAACACTTATTTTTGTGTCTTTATTTATAGCTGCTACTCTCAAGGATGCTGGGATAAAGAGGAGGGTCTTTTTTGTTTTTACAATTGCCTAAAGTTATGTACATACTTTGTAAAAAGATATCAGCACTAACTTCTCAATGATTATAAAACATGCCCTATTCTTCCCCATATTTCCCACACACTTTCTAGACTCTACATCCCCTGTTCTTCCATAAGAACAATGTGTGTACACACACACTGACAACTAAGTATGTGTGTGCAACCCAAGTAAACAACACAGCTTTCGTGGAATATCTGACAGGGGAGGAGATGGAAAATGGCTCGTTTACCCCATACTGATCCCAACTCAACACTCCCTTGATTTCTCACCTGTCCTTGCTATCGTCTGTCACAAACAGTACTCTGTCTGTCAATCATCCTCCCTTCCTCCCTTCTCGCCTCCGTCCCTGACTTTTGTCTCTCCTTCCTCACTGCTTCATGGGTCTTTACTCTGTCAACATCCTGGAGCCCCAGGCGCCCTCTTCCAGCCCTTGAGGAATGCACAGCCTAAGCTCAGCAGGGGCATAGATGTTTGAACTCTAGAGTGTGCCTAGCTGTAATAAATTTGTACGGAACTCTTGCAAAATACTTATTTTTTTCTTTTAGAAATATAGAAATCCAAATGATAGCTAAGGTCTTGTTAAATTTTAAAGATAAAAATAATTTAACATAATTTCTAGTTTCATAATCTAAGTCAAAGGCAGTAGAGAACAAGAAATAGCAATAAAGTGTGCATGTAAGTATAACCCATGATAGGTAAAATGATTAATAAAATATTTTTCCTGTCAATGTAGTAGATTAAGCCAAATGTAATAGGAATTGTCCCTAAATTTGAAATAAGGACTATTAGTGAATACGTAAAGGGGAATTTATTCAGAATGAACATTAGAGATTTATCTGAAATACATTTCTTTGAGCTCTATTTCTCAGTTATTAGAAAGCCCACATAATTTTTCGTGGATCTGATTTCACATACAACTCACTATTATGCTTAGTTTGTTCTTTTGCCATATTAGTCTAACACAAAATTGAAAGTCATAGATTATTCACAATAAGCTTTGCAACCATATTTCTGAATATACTTGATTCACCTTTAAAACGATAATAGCAAATATTTTCAGAATAAAAATTAGTTTTGACAATGCCTTTTGTTGTCTATTTAAAACTATTTTACATTCAAGACAAGGTTTACACAGGTTGTAAAATTTATTGCTACTTTATTTCCTGGAAGTATACCAACTAAAATATATACTTACTTTTTGCATTACTAAATTTGACTGACAAATGCAGATTTTTTAATAAATAGTTCTTTTTCTATATATTCACTTACAAGTTGGATTGGTTATTTATATATTGGTTTTATATATATATGTAGGTTATATATATATATATATCATGTATATGAATATGAAAAGTTTGAAGATGTTTTAATAAACTACTTTTAAAATGTAATTTTTACCTTTTAGGAAAATATTCACATTTCATAAAGCATTTTTATAAATTTTAAAATAGCTTATTTCTCCACAAAATACCCTAGTGGACACACCATTCGAATTTTAATGTCTTTACTTGAAACTGCATACAACGTTAGCTGGCTCAGATCAGGGGACGTTAAGGGCTCATTGCTTTAGCGTCTCTCTTTTTTCCAAAGCAAACAATGGCAGGGGCCCAGTGTGTTAGTAGTGAGAGACCAAACACCAGGACATGGGTGTGTGAGAGTCTGTTTCACAGCCTCGATTCCCTATAAATCATCCCGTACGGAGCAGCAGGTAGACAGTTTGAAAGCGAAAGTGAATTGAGGTTATTTTCACGATGACTACAGGAAGAATACCTTAAAGAAAAAGGGATGTCCTTCAGGGCTGCAGGCCGGTCCCTCTGTGGCTGGCAATCTCTTTCCCGCCAGGAGTGGAGATCCAGCTGTAGTTTGGTAAGAAGCTGCATAAATCCAGCCCAGACCTCAGAACCCAGCAGCAAAGGTGCAGATACTGGAACTCCCGGACTCACAAAGAATAAGCGCGGCTTTCCTCCGTGTGCGAGTTATTCTGCTTTTCCAGCCCTGGTCATGCCAGGCCCTGAGCCCAGCGCTGGGCAAGATCCACAGCCGGACCTGCTCTACCGCACACTCGCGCGTGAATTTCCCCACGCGTCACAAAGCAGAGAGCGCAGTTGTGTGCTCCAGGAGTTCCGGGCCTCCTGGTCTGTGAGCGGACTTCTGGGTGAATAACAGGAGCATTGGCAGGGAGCAACCAGGAACGATTTGCTCCAAGACTGGAAGGGTCCGGCGGGGACTCTCGACCATCTCAATTTTATTTTTCAAAAAGCCAGGAAATAAGTGATGACTTTGTTTACTTTTGTGTTTCCTTCCTTGCTTTAAAAACTTCATTTGCTCCTTGAAAATGCTCTGGTCAGTAATCAGCTTGGAGTATAATTTAAACAGCATTTTCATGGCACTTTGGAAAGGAGGAGTGATCATTTTAAATCCTCCAGAAATGAAACAAGCTTGTTCTATTTCGATCCTTCTGAAAGAGGCATAAGGGGAGATTTATGAACGTTAATTTTCCACTTTTGATGCCCTCTGGGGAGGTGCTGGCATCTTTCAGACACATCCCCAAAGCCTCGCTGAGGGTCCTGAGGGCCCGAGGGGAGCCGGGAAACTGTTCTGCTTGGTGCGGTCGATGGTCCAGTCCACCATGGCAATGCTGAGCGCACCCGGGACTGCCACGGAGGCTCAAGCACTCCTGTAGGGTCCCCTGCTCGGACGGAGCGGCCTACGGAGGTCCCCTCACCCCTGGGGGTAAGGAAGAAGACTCAGGAGGCTGACTGCCCTCCAGAAAGGGATTTTGTGGGGGTTTTTTAAATTATTGAGAGGCAAATTACGTTGTTCCTTGTTACTTTGATCATTTAGATACCTTCTATCTTTTGAAATTGATACTATTCTCAGAAACCAGATGTCCATGAATGCATTAGTTATACATCTATGATCAACGTGTGCAATCTTTAGGGCAGCACACAGCGCCCTTCATATTACATTTATTAGCTTCAATGACGCATTGACCATTAAGAGTATTACATACTCTGCACCTGAAAAAAATCTATTACCACGAATAAATATACAAACTATACATCATCTACTCCAACAGTACAAAGTAGCAGTTTATTTTAGACAGTGTGAGTTTTGTCAGCAGGGAATTCCCTGAAGAAAAGAAAAACAACCCAGCATAATATTAATTACTGGCACCATCTGTGCAAAACAATAGGAAAAGCAGTATTTTAATACAATGACTTCATGCATGTCAGTTATCTTCCACACTAAATGCTGCATTTCTGTTGATGCTGTTTACCTGTCTATTCATTTAAATAATGGGTGTTCTTACAGAGGTTAAATCTATGAATAAATAAATTAAAATTGAATATAATGAAATATTTAAATAGGTGTTACATGAGTCTGATTTGTTCTCCAAAACTATATCCCGTGTGCACGTAGGGATACACAAATTACTGCACCATCTGCTAGGTTTTACAAGTTGCGGAAGAACTTTCTTTACACATGAAAGGCGCACTGTGGACTCTTTGTAGTGGAAAGCATTATGCAGCTGAAAAGACTGAGACAATTGGTCTGACTCATTCCTGGCAATGGTCAGACTGGAAGGGTCCCTTCAAAGGACAGGGGCAGGGATCATCACAAGAAATCATTTTCTATTTAAATTCTGAGCTGTTAAGGTAACATTTGTTAATTATGACAATAGATGCTGCTCCCAGCACCAAAGGACTCCCTTTTCCTCTGTCCTTTTAAGCCACCATAACCCGCCACCTGGTACATTCTTTCCACATTCACTTTCACTTCTGGCTTCAGTAAATATTTACTGAGAAAAGCACTGAATTCTGTGGTGGAGAAGTGGATGGTAAGGAGAGGCGCTGTCTTCCGGGCGTACCAGCGACGCTCTGCTGGGTTCGTTTAGTGCACACGCGGCCCAGACCGCACTGCCCCGAGTTCTCACCACAGAAGCAGCCTTCCCAGTTTCAGGGCGCACACAGTCCAGCTGCTAATCGGTTTTGCTGGGGAAAAACCGGAACGTTCCGTTTGGAGGTCTTTTGTTGCAATTACCCCAGTCCCTTCATTACATAACACTGGCTTGCCGTGATCAAATTTCCTCCGTTCACCATGCTGTGCTCAAAGCTAAGAAAGAAGCCTGCAGCCTCCAAGTCCCAGCAGCTTCTACAACAGTAAAACTGTGCTTCCCTCCCACCAACTGCCTCAGTGAAGAAGAAAACGATAGCATAGTCGTCATGGCTGATTCCTCATCCATTGAAGGAAAGAAACTAGGAGAGGTAGCAAGCATGTCGACCTTTTACAAAGAACATGAATAACCACAAAATGGGCTTACATGCAAATAAAAATTAAGACATCCCCAAAGCCACTTGTAGTGAGGAAAAGTAAAATTAGGTAGCGCAGGAAAAAATTCCCCGCAATTGTGAGACAAGGTGTGGTCAAAAGTGTGGGGAAGTAGGCAAACGCAGTTGCGGTGAGAGAGAGGGGATAGGCGCGCAGCTCTCTGGGAGGGAAGCTAGCAGCTCAACAAACTTCAGCGCCCCTGGTTTTTGAGCCACTTTTTTTTTATCTGAAAAAACCCATCCATCCTTCAGTGATTTGTGGCCACATGGAAAGGAGATGTAGGTCTCTTTTTTAAGCCATATACTCTCTCAAAATACAGAAACAGAAAAAAATAACCCACGCTGGTACAAACCAACAAATGTATAATAAACTTCCAAAACACTAGTAAATCCTCAGATTCCAGAACTATAAAGAAAGTTAAAACTCCGGCAGGAAAAGTAGATAATGATACCCACGGGGATTTTGATGTTTTCTCTGATGAATAGAAGATGTAACCTTTGGCAAAATGAAACAGAAACGGGGTTGAGATTCTGATGTAAAATTTCTAGCCAGCCTGCAGCCCTAAAAGAAAGGGGTGAAACGCTTTCTGCCCATTGGCCTTTCTCAGTAACTGAGATGTCTGTCCAGCTGTGGGCAGGGAAAAAGTCCACTGGAAGAGCCTGAAGGTGCAATCCATTAGTCACCTATATTTTCAGTGATAGAAACCTAAAAAGTTCCCCTTAAGCATTAAATGTGCCTTTCTTTATGAAATTGGTAGCCATGGAGACAACTCTACAGCTTCTAGGGATGAGTGGGGGATTAGATGAAGATGCGAGGTCTCTACTGCACAGCTGGACTGAAGTCTAAAGCCAGGTGAAGAAGCCGGCCAGACCACTTCCAAGGCGTGTGCAGAACCAACCCAATCTGCGATGAATCCGCAGACAACTCAGGTAGGAAATAGCACCCGAAGAACAGGAGAACACTAGACAATTTAAGAGCTTATTATTATTGAAAACAGTTTTCAGTGATTTAGGAGCTCAAAGAAGCGATAGAAATCTAAATAAAAGAATAAGATAGCACAAAAAGTATTCAACAGATTTGCAGAGTGAAGCAGAGTAGCTGGAAGCGAAGAACCCATGAGAAATGGATAACCCCAGGGACGCTGCCAAAATGATGGACAGAGAAGGAGCAAGTGGGAGGCCGACCACAGGGAGAGGGAGCCCCAGTGCAGCCCCAATACTACAGACATAGGAATCTGGAGAGAACTGCGGCGGCGTGGAGGAGGACACAGAAATACTGTGAGAAGAGGAAGAGAAGAAACATCCTTGGGAAGCACTCGAGAAAATGTGCCGAATCCGCAGAGCCCTGTTGGGTTCCTTAGACTGAGTTCTCAACAAGGACAACAGAGGGAAGGTTCTCACACACACTCTCGCCTGGGCCCCTTCCCGTTTTCTTGATTCGGTCTTAAGATTCCTCATAGCGTGCTGACGCTCACAGCCGGAAAAGAACTGTAGAGCACACCAGTCCACTTCCGCTCCCGCCAGCTGAACTCTATTCTTTAAAAGTTCCTGTTAGACACAGGTGTGGTGGTGCACACCTGTAATCCCAGCCCTTCTGAGGCTGAGCCAGGTAGGAGGAGCGCCACGAGGGCGAGGCCCGCCTGGGCTACACAGTGAGTTCAAGGCCAGACTTAACTACACAGTGAAACTCTGCCTCAAGTTCCTGGTAGAGCTCCATGTATTATTTTTACTCTCCTCCATACAATATTATTATAAAGCAAGGAACTGTATTGGGACAAATTAAATGAACTGGAGGAATCCGTAAATGCATGCCACTTAAAAATGACTGTAAAATTAGGTTTTTGGCACATGGACTGTAAAATTGAGGGTTAAAATTCACAAAGTTCTAGAGTATACTGAACACAAATCCCTTTAACAGTGTCTCTAAGTTCTTAGCTTCATTGTAGAGACACTAGAATTGTAGGTAAAACACAGTTGTTCATGAAAGAAAGATAATATAAAACTCAAACTAATAGGGCCATTTTAAAGGAAAGGCCTTGTACTTTTACATAAATTTATATATAATTTCACAAACCATACGGCCAAACAATAAAAATTTATATATTTGAGTTTATATAAAATATTTAGCATGAGTGTTACTAGGCAATATCCAAAAAATTTAAGTTTTTTTTATCCATGGACATGGACTCTTTATCCGTGTATTTAGGTGAGCTTTAATTTCTTTCAGTAAATATTATAGTTCTCATACAAGTCTCTCACCTCATTAAATAAATTTACTTTTAGGAATTCTGTTATTTCAGAGACTATTGCATATGAAATTGCTGTTTTGATTTTTTTCTATTGTTCATTGGCAGTGTATAGAAACAAAATTAAATTTTGGGCATTAATCTTACCTCTTGTGACTTTCCTGAATTTGGTTGTCAATTTTAGTAGATTTCTCATGAATTATTTGAGATTTGTATACATAGGATTCTGTCATCTCTAGAGACAGTTTTAACATTTTTAAATAAAGGTTTGGAAACTTCTTTTTCTTGTCAAATTGCTGTGGCTAGAATTTCCAGATCAATATTGAATAGGAGCAGTGAAAGAAGTTATCTGTAAGGTAAGTTAGTCATGGTCTCAGGGAGATGGCTTGAGGTTTCCATCATAGAATATGATTTTAAGTATGAGTATTTCATGGTGGACTGATTTTTCAAAGTAAAGATTGCTCTGTGTATTTT